TTTTWGATAGACTTCTGGTACTGATGCCAATCCAAACGGCAATCTTTTAAACTGGTATTCTTTTAAACTGGTATACCTTTCCCACTGCCTTCAAAAMCTTATACATAATTAATGAGTTATTAGGCCAATAGAATGAGCCCATTTGGTCACATGCATGGACCTTTATATCTGATAAAACACTCCTTATTAGTATTCTTTATATAAAGATTATTTTTTAATCTTATAAAGATGATTTTTTTTTYTTTTTTTTTTTTTTTTTTTTTTTTTTTTGATGCTCTAAAAATTTTATTATATATATAAAATTCATATCTTACAATTCTAAACACTACGGACACACAAGCTATTTCTTTCTAAAAGCCAGCCTCCTCCATGAAACAAATGTTAAATTAAATAATTAAATAACTWAGCTAATTCTAAAGACCGACATAAATAAATAATTAAGCTAATTAACTAATTAAACATGAATATGACAGACAACTAATTCTAAAGCCGACCTCCTCCACATATTACAAGGAGGAAATTACTTAATGAAAATTTGAAAGAAGAGATTTTAGAAAGAAAAACTCTATGACTGATCACACATTACATTACACCATGTTTCACGGAATCAATCTTCAGACATACGATAACGGTCRACAGTTTGACGATCACGGATATCAAACTTACACTTACGAACCAATTCCACGTACGAACAAACAGAATTATCAAAAGTAGCACGGTTACGAAACATCCAAATCACACTCAACATGGTCTCAATGACAAACAACATCACACGGTCCTCTCTTCTCCCRTGATTAAACAGACGCAAGATCACGTTATTGCAATCAATCCKGACGTCGCGCTCGACGACCCTGTGCAGCACATACATAACCCAACCCCAGGCTCTCTTCACGCGCTTACAATCCAAAATACAATGCTCAATCGACTCAACCTTTCCACACACAGCACACCTATCACTCACTACATTGTGTYCCCATTTCTTTAAATTCAGTCTAACTTTCGTCACTCCATGTATYGCTCTMCACCTCACCTCGCTCACCTCTCCACTCCGCACGACTAACACTACTCCTCCAATATATCTCACTTCTTGGACGCACAAACAAAGACYTCTCCAACAAAGCATACACACTTTTAACAGKACAATCGGACTTCAACTTCACAGTACGTAACGTAGATACCACATTAGAATAGTACAAAGGCAGCTCATCAGCRTTAGGCAACAAATTAGTACGAATATCTCCCAACCCTTCCACAAGTGCACAAACCCTATTCCCCACAAAGTACCGTGCAAAAGCAGACGCCTTACAATTACTACGACGCAACAAAGACACAACATTAGCTACATGCAACGCCCTAACCCTTGCTCCCTAGTCCACCATCCCACACCCACCCCTGGCTAACGGTAATAAGCAGGTCCCCCTTTTAATGATTTCTACCATCCCACCCCAGAGGAACCCCCACACCAACTTATTAGCATCCCTGACAATATTCAACGGCACATSTAACACCCTCCCAACATACTCCAACTTCGACAAACCCAACACCTTTACAATCACAACCTTCCCCTTCAACGACAGCATCCTACCCTTCCATCTATTCAACACCTTCTTCAACTTCTCAGACTTCCCTCTATTCAATCYCGCACCAGAACCCAACCCAAAATACTCCACAACATCCAACACCCTTTCAACAGACCTCCCATCCCTCAAAATACACGTAACATCATCAGCATATTGTCCAAACTTCGAATCCCCCCCCCCTCCCGTACCCGGCACAAGAAAACCATTTATCCCCTCAATACTACGTATATAACACGCCAACACTTCCACAAATAGTACATACAACATAGGGGACAGAGGGCACCCTTGCCTTATCCCCTTCTCCAAACACACATCCCCAGTCAACAGTCCATTASACAACACTTTACCACAAGCCCCATTATACAGCACCGACATACACCTGCAAAAACACTCTCCAAACCACATCCTCCTCAAAACCCTCCCAAGAAACAACCTGTCAACCCTATCAAACGCCTTCTCCTGATGCAACGATATGACAACACCAACAACGGCCATCCTTTCAACATCCCCCAAGACATCCCTCACCAAACACAAATTATCCACAAGCGACCTACCCATCWCCGCACACGTTTGATCCTCCCCTACAACCACAGCCATCACTCTCCTCAACCTCAAACTCAACGCCTTCGCCACCATCTTGTAATCAACATTCAACAGGGAGATAGGCCTCCAATTCTTCAGATCCTTCCGCAGCGGATGCAGCCGCAGCACCACCGGGGGCAGCCGCTGAGGCATAGGAGCGCCCCGAGCTCTTCTTAGGGGCACCTTTTGGGGGCTCTGGAGCCTTCTTTTTAGCAAGACCAATCTTACATTGACGAGTCCAGTGTCCATTGACGTTACAGTTACTGCAATATGCTTCCGGGCAACGATTAACAGTTCGATCTCTCGGCACACCCATTTTGAGGTTCGCCACGTGTGTAGATTCAAACTAGCGGGGCAAACATAGGAAACCCACTTTACAAACTGACRGAGCACTGATCCTTGACCAATGCAGGATGTCAACCGATTGCAGTAAACAGCCAACAGGGGTTCTATTTTATTTTATGCGTTTTCAATGTGGGATGACAAGAGTGCTTTGTTAAGTGATTCGCGCATGATCAGTTTTCCCCATTTATCTCAAAACATATTTTTAAGGCAATTTTAACGGAKTAGAGTTTCAATTTAGTATTGGAGTTTTTGAAGCCGTTTAAAACACTCGAGATCGTGTTTATCAGGTATAAAGATCTYGCCTTCGGCTCGAATCTTTATACCTGATAAAACACTCTCTCTCGTGTTTTAATCTATACATAAAAGAGGTTATTTCTCTTGACTCTTCTGACAGCCGAACTTGCCAGTATGCCTTGCGAAGGTCCAGTGTAGAGAACATCTTTGCCCCGTTGAGTTGACGCAGTAAATCTTGTATTCGAGGAATTGGAAATCTCTCTCGTACTACAGCTTTGTTTGCCTCTCTGAGGTCTACGCAGATTCTCAGCTCCCCATTGCCTTTGGAGACGACATGTACTGGTGATACCCAGGAGGCGCCTGACGCTTCCTCAATAACATCATCTTTTATCATTCTCTCAATTTCTTCTTTTAATCTCACTTCAAGAGGTGCAGGCACCGGCCGTTGTCTTTGGACCTTAGGCGRCACTTCGCTGTTTATCTTTATGTCGTATTCATAAACCTCAAATACTCCGAGCTCTTCCTTGAAGACATCAGCATACTCCTGAAAGATATCCTCGCTTTCATCAGACAGTCCCTCCCCTACAGCCTGTATATTAATAATATTAAGTGCCTGGATAGCACTCCTCCCGAGTAATGCTGGACCATCTACCTCGATGACAAACACTGGT